CCGATGCATTAAGTCGCCCAGAGGGTAATAACATAATTAATTATAATACAGACTACAATGTTAATAATTATATATATATATATATATTATATATATATATATATATATATATAATATAAATCAGGACAGTGAATATATAGACTCTCTATTATTCACTCCGGATATAATAATACATATATTAATATCATATTATATAGTATATATAATATATATATATATAGTATATACCTATGTGTGCTGTGGCCGCATACTCTACTCGTACACGTGTCGTTACCAATGTTTGTGTTCAACGATGAAGACGGCATGCTGCCCGTACATTTCACCTACTATACAGGAAGCCTAGTTAGGCTGCTCACTGGAGAGACTGACTCGTCGATTGATCCACCCGCCGGGGACCATGTCGCGTCATACCACCGGCGATACGGCGTCTGTGCTTGTCCGTACAGTGACGGCCGCTCAACGACGACGTCCCGCCAATGTCGCCGCCGCCTTTATACGATAGCCGTTAAACTCGACAGTGCTTGTCTGATTGTAAGCGAAGTCCATGCTCGTCACAAGGCATCATCATCCAGCAGGCAGCGCAGCAACAACAACAACAGTGCAGCCAATAGCGCAGCAACACTCAGGCAAGTCAGCAGCAGTAGCAGCAGTAACAGCAGCAGCAGCAGCAGCAGCCGCCGCAAGCAGCAGCCGCCCAGCTGCCGAGCCGCAGCAGCAGCCAGCAGCAGCCGCGCAGCAGCAGCCAGCAGCAGTAACAGCCAGCAGACCGCAGCAGCTAGCAGCGCAGCAGTACCAGCAGCAGCAGCAGCCGCCGCAGCAGCAGCCGCCAGCCAGGCAGCCGCCAGCAGCAGCAGCCAGCAGCAGTAGGCCGCCAGCAGCAGCGCCCGCAGCAGCCCACAGCCAGTAACAGCAGCAATCTCGAATTCTCGATGTCACAAATCGGCACCCACGTGCTAACCTAAATGTGATCCTAATGCCTAATACTAGGACAGTGTTGCTTCTGGTTGGGCTTACAGTGGCTCACAATTATCAACCAATAAGCCGCGTATATATGTATATATTATATACATATATAGAAGTAAAATGCACACACAGAACCACCCCATGCTAGATAAGAAAAAAAATGTACGATAGAAAGGGTGCTTAAATAAACTATTTTAACACCCCTTTTCCATTTTTTACATTTAATTATTCTTATAATAGGCCTATTATTATTAATTATTCATATCATATATATATATATATATATATAAGTGGGGATGCTTGAGTCGTATTACTGTCGGTTAGACGTGCTCGAGATCATCTTTAAGTTGCAGAACGTAATAAATTAAATTAATTTAACTACAGACTACAATTTATATAATATATATAATAATATAACTATATGATAATATATAAATATAATCAAGGAGAATAATATAGATCTCTATTATTCAACTCCGCGAATATAATATATATATATATAATATATAATATATAATATTTATATATATATATATATATATATATATATATATATATATATATATATATATATATATATACCTATGTGTGTGTGCCGCATACTCTACTCGTACACGTGTCGTTACCAATGTTGTGTTCAAGATGAGACGGCATGCTGCTACATTTCCCTACTATACAGGAAGCCTAGGTTAGGCTGCTCATCGAGGACTGACTGTCGTATTGATCACGCGGGGACACGTGTCGCGTCATCACGGCATCGGCGTCGGTGCTTGCCGTACAGTGACGGCGCTCATACGACGTCCGCAATGTCGCGCGCTTAGCGTTAAACGACAGTGCTTGTCTGATTGAAGGAAGCCATGCTGTCATCAGCATCATCATCAGCAGCAGCGGCAGCAACAACAACAACAGTGGCAGCAATAGCAGCAGCACCACTCAGGAGCAGCAGCAGTAGCAGCAGTAACAGCAGCAGCAGCAGCAGCGCCGCAGCAGCAGCCGCAGCTGCAGCCGCAGCAGCAGCAGCAGCAGCAGCAGCCGCAGCCGANATATATATATATATAATATATATATATATATATATGTTTATCTATACGTACTAATGACATATATTTCCGACTATACTATAGTACTATGACTATTGCCGAATATGTTTTGACGGAGTTGATAATTGAAGCCATCACTGATTACTCGATACTTGTTTATCGCGCAGATGTTTTTCGTTCTAGCGTACTGTCAGCGCATTCGATCTCGGCTAGAAGTCGATCTAATCCGACCCGTCAAAGAGATCCTTGAGAGGGAGCCACTGTCACACAGCATACGAGAAGTGACGGGTCTTTTTCATACGCCAGCGTTAGAGCTAATAGGTAGGTATGGTGAGAGAATCAGGGGAGGGGGGGAACCCACGGAAATAGGCCATTCTGATTTGATCGTCACAACACGGATATAATTTTAGCGCTCAGTATGACGGCGGCATCCGGCCAGAGTTGTTTTTACGGAGTCTTTGTAATTAAGCGCTAATCATTAAGTTTGTCAATTAATCCGTATCAACGTCATACTGATCTGTAGCCTCGAAAGTAATCACCGCCTGCGTATGCGCGGGCAGACAAATCTGATACGTACCTTTTCGCGAACGCAGTTTTTATTATCATCGACAATATTATTATTATTATCGTTATTATTTCCAAAGTGGATCCTGGCATTAGCCGGTGGCTTCTGGGTTGGCCGTGTTCCAACCTGGGACATAGGGATTCAATCCAAAAATTTTCGCAGGATGTGTGCTGTTCCCAGTTCGTTATTATTATTATTATTATTATTATTATTATTATTATTATTATTATCATTATTAATATTATTATCATTGTTTAACGTTTTTATTATTTCCATTTTTATTATCTTGAAGCCATTCATGTTCACGTAGCTTGGCCCCCATTGCCACCCCGCTCGCGGTGACGTACCAGTCGCGAAAACTAGCTATAAAAAAGCGTAAAAAGTGCATTCCCATGCACATCTTTATTATGCATACATATACTGTATCAGGAGTGAATAATAATAGATCTTATTATTATCTATTATTATTCACTCCTGATTGTATATATATATATATATACACATATATATATTGTTTATTTATTTATAAACGTTTATATACATGTATATATATATATCTATATACGTCGATTCGCCCGGTATGTATATATATATATATATATATATAATAGTAATAGCGAATGGAGCCTAGCCAGGACACTGGGTGTTTGCGGGGGTCGGATGAACAGCGCACCACCCACTGCGCGGTGTGTGTGTACCTGTAACATTATAGCTAGAGCACGTGTGTCCCCCCTCCCCCTCTCCCTTCCTCCCCCTCCCCCTCTCTCTCTCTCTAATGGGGTGCGAGGATTTGCGCTGCATATTACTTCGCCGGTCACCTTGCCACGCTTCCCCATCCCGCGTGAATCCCGATCCGAGCAGTGTTTTTCTGATTTTTAATTCAAAGCCAATTAAAGCCCGCTCAGCCTCCACCCGGATAAACAAATCGTCGATAATTGGAGTCGGCTGGGCGGCGTGTTCATCTCCTCCAACCACTGCTAGCTAGCTAGCACTCCTCACCTGCTTATATGAATGCCTCCAGCAGACCTCGAGCTAAAGCTGGTGAACATAACGAGCAGCAGATGCACGCCGACCATGTGTTTCCCAGACACACAAGACAGGCGCACGCACATGTGTGCTCACGCACGCAAGCGCGCGCACACACACACGCGCGCACAGCCACGCGCACACACCCGCATGCACGCACGCTGCTATTTAGATTTCACGCGTATTAAGTAGGGAGGGGATCATGAGAGATAGATAGATTGATTGATTGATTAAATAATAAATCGATAGATAGATAGATCGATAAATATATATATAGATAGTTAAATGAATAAATAGATAGATAGATAGATAGATAGATGGATAGATCGATAAATATATATATAGATTGTTAAATGAATAAATAGATAGATAGATAGATAGATAGATAGATAGATAGATAGATATATAGATAGATAGATACATAGATAAATATATAGATACATTGATAGATGCATAGATAGATACATAGATAGATAGATAGATAGATAGATAGATAGATAGATAGATAGATAGATAGATAGATAGATAGATAGATAGATAGATACATAGATAGATAGATAGATAGATAGATAGATAGATAGATAGATAGATAGATAGATAGATAGATAGATAGATAGATAGATA